TTGATATAAATCCCCCTTCCTACACTACTTTTAACATCTTCATAGTGAAAGACCCAAATGGCACCCAGACATTTGGAAAATCTGATACCCCCTTCATTGCTGGCCATGATTTTATCTCGCTCACCTATCGTTTCACTACTAACAAGCATATCACCAGAGTCATTAGGTCCCGCGGTTTCAATCGGGTAAACGAAGCGGCCTTAAATGAGACCCTCCACAGCCTTCTCTCGTGTCTGGTCGACAAACCTCCTGCGCGACTGAAGTGCTCTTCCGATCCGTTGATCGATGCTGACCTACATTCCCTTAACAACTCGGTAAACTCTCTTACTGAAGTCCTTATAAAGTCTTTCGACGAGGTAACCCCTCTCAGGTGCCTCAAGTTGTCTTCTAGGCGTGGGTGACTCCGAGCATCCTCGCTCTCGTGAAAAGGCGTGACGCTGCCTATAAACTGGCAACCTCCTCCCGCTCGGTCAGTGACGTCACTGGATATCGAAGACTTCGTAATGACGTCTCAAATGCCCCCGACTCAGCAAGCACCAGTAATGCCAGATGGAGCGAGTTATGAAATTTGGAAGTCACTAAGCGTGCTCTTCCATCTCCGTTTCGACTTTTTCCCATAGCCGTACTAAACACCCAGTTTGCCAATATAGTAAACTCGTCTCCTCCCATCACATATGACTTTTTTGACGCCCTTTTAGCGAGCCCCCCAAATGTTCCTCACGTCCACTCCCCATTCGAATTTCGTGAGGTTACTAGATAGGAGGTTATGGATGCACTAAACTCGTCCTCATCCAGAACATTCGCTTCCGATGGTTTGTCTGTCAAGATGCTTAAACTCGTCTCTTCTACTTGTCTCTCGTCTCTCACGCATCTTGTCAACAAATCATTACTGTGCGACATTATTCCAATCTCCTGGAAATGGTCTCTCATCACCCCTCTTGCCAAAGTACCTTCCCCCGCTCTTTTATCGGACATCAGACCGATAGCAAGGTTATCTAAGGTATCAAAGGTGCTTGAGAGGCTCGTTCATTCACAACTTTCGTCCTATCTAGACCGCCGCAAGCTGCGTGATCCACGGCAGGCCAGATTCGTGAGGTTTCACAGCACACAGACTGCACTCCTGGGTGTCCTTGATGACATCCGCGGGGCCATTGAGGAGCGTAAAATTACAATACTCGTTCTGCTGAATTTTTCCAAGGCTTTTGACGTTATCCTCCATGGTCATCTGATGGTCAAGCTCAGGGACCTATGCCTGTCTGATACTGTCTTGAGAAGGTTCTTTAGCTATCTGACTAACAGGTTTCAGGCTGTTGTGGGGGAAGACGGCAGAGTATCGGACTAGCTCAGGGTAGCTACTGGAGTGCCGCAGGGTAGTATTCTGGGACCATTGCTATTTGCAATCTAAATCTTGGACCTGCCCTCTGTTCTCTCCTTCATGAATTACATGCTTTATGCCGACGACACGCAGGTCTACCTCATTGTCATCCCGGCAGCCTTGCAGAGGCTTTGGAGAGGGTGTAGCTTGATGTGCAGGCTATAGCGGACTGGGCCTTAAGAAACGGTATCTCTCTTAACCTCACCAAGACCAAGGTCATGATATAAGGCAGCGAACAGTACGTTAGGGCTATCAACTTGAACGACATCGTGAAGATCACCATTAACGAGGTTTCACTCGACTATGTTACCAGTGCTCGCAACCTGGGTGTGACACTTACTCCCACGCTAAATTGGTCCGAACATGTCAGAAGCGTAATGAGAAGGGTATACGGCTCTCTGGCTTCACTCCGCTTCCACAGGAAATCTCTCTCGACTACCTTAGAAAAGTTTTTGCCGAGAAGCTCATTTTCCCACATTTCGATTACCGCTCAGTGGTCTGTATTCAGCTTGATGGAGAGCGCTTGTCTAAGCTTCAAGTTGCCCAAAACGCCTGCGTATGCTTCGTAATAGGATGGATCCCATATATACCTACTCTATCCCTAAACAGCCACATCACCCACCCTAGATTAGCCCTAGGCTGGCGATCCTTTACCCCAAATAGATATAGAGCCCTCGCCGTTCTGGCATACTCTGTTGTGTCCAGAAAATCGCCACACTATCTAGCTAAAAACTTGTCTGTCCTGCTTGATAGTGTCATTATCCGGCGCTCGGGTCGCCATCCACCGTCGGCATTTGAATACAAGGGCCCTCGAACTGAGACCTGGAACCATTCTTTTACGATCCTTGCTCAGAGAATATTCAACTCATTGAGCGTGACCCTGTTCTCCACCGATTAGATTTTTGACTTCAAAGATTGGACACGTGATCTATTTTTAAATTATGAGGCTAGAGCATGGATTGAAAGGGCGACTCGCGAAAAATTAATGCCAGTGCCGACACTGTCCGATTACACTCGCATACCAAACAAGGTCAATCCAGTCGCGTTCTCCCAAAATTATCCATCCTCCCTCAAATACCCCTCTATCGACCTTTGGTTCATGAAATAGCTAATTAAACATAGTTGTTTTTTAGCCAAATGCATGTCGCTCCACTTTTATACCTTTCCTCCTTTCGGACCGTTTTTCTGTAAAATAGGTGCCATCGCGCTTTCATTACTTTTACTACTTTTATTATTTTTTACTACTTTTATTATTTTTATTGTTCTTATTATTTTTATTACTTTTATCGTCTTTATTATTTGTATTATTTATCATCTTTTATTCTTATTATTTTTGTTGTTTTATCTGTTATTTTAATTATATTGTTCTTTATATATTTTTATTTTACTATATTTTACATATTTTATTCTATTTTCATTTTACATACTTATTCTTAGTCTTCTTACTGTTATTGCCATTGTTAATTCTCTGGTCACCGTACATACAATTCACGCATTTTCACCTAATTCATCTTCTGTAAATAGTTAAATGCATTACTATTTTTTCTTGCATCTCTTCTTTTGTCATTTTAAAATTTTGTTATTGTTGGATTTGTACATTTTCTAATTTGCCAGATGGGGTTCCACCTTATTGGCGCAATAAACGAACTGATCGATAATCTATAATCTCTCTTTTTCTGTACCTCTCTATTTTCCTTCGGTTTGCAAGAGAATTGCAATTTGGGTAATAGCGGGATCTGGTTTCTACGAGCTGGCTTAGGTTGCAACGGCTTCAAGGATGGTTGGCGAGGCAAGGTAGCCAGGCGCTCACGTGCCAGCTGACTCATTGTCTTGCCGCGTATTAAGTTAAGTCACGGTTGCTGTAAATTTAGCTAATAAGACAATTTTATACTTGTTTTGAGCACTTTTTAGGGTTTGCCTTTTGTATTAAAGAGTGGTAAAAGTGTATGCTCACGTTGTTATTTAAAGATTGCCTTTTCATTGTACCTTCACATGGAGTGGTCTATTGCCTCCCTTATTCCTCTGAATTTATAATAACGAGAGAAAAATCGGCCTTCAAGAACTGACGCTACGAGGGTGGGTCAGTAAGTCCTTAGAAAAAGATAGAAAAACAATTTTTTTTATTTTTTAAGGTAATCTCCTCTTAACTTGACACACTTTTCCAAGCGTCTTTCATATTGTTTCCAACCATCAGAAAAAAATAATTTTAGAAGTTCCTCAAAATAGCCATTTGTTTGTGTTATGACCTCCTCGTTCGAGATGAATCCTTGTCCAACAAGCCACCTTTTTAGGTTTGGAAATTAAAAAAAGTCACTAGAGGCCAAATCTGGTGAATACAGTGGATGGTCTACTAATTCAAACTTCAATTCCTTAATTTTAGCCATTGAAACTAAGCAAGTGTGCACTCATGCATTGTCTTGATGAAACAGAATTTTTTTTTCAAATGAGGACGTTTTTCCTTTTTTTTCTCGGTTAACCGGTCCAACAACGACGCATAATACTCTCCGGTGATTGTTTATCCTTTTTATAAATAATTGATGAAGATAATTCCACGTGCATCCCAAAAAACAGTGACTATAACCTTGTTGGTCGATTTCACTGTCTTCTTTGAAGCTGGTTGACCTTTCACAATCCACTGTCTTAACTGCTTCTTCGTCTCGGGATAGTAGTGATGTATCCACGTTTCATCTATATTTATGAATCGACGCAAAAAGTCGTCCGAGGCCTTCATTGAGGCCTGCAATGGTTTGGTCAGTTGGGCGACGGACTCGCATCCGCTAGGTCCGGGTTCGATCCCCAGTCCCTGCTAATTGATACAAGCACCACTGAAAAAGCTTCATGTGCTTTGTTCTCAAACACATTGCAAGCCTCCGTCACTGATTAGCATTCTTGGAGCATAAATAGAGCGACGTTAAATAAATAAAAAAAAAACCATGTCGTGGATTTTATAGATCATTTCCGGAGTACTCACGTCTACAGAACGGCCTGAACGATGTTTATTTGCAGTCGATATACGGCCACGTTTAAATTCATTTACCCAATTGTAAACAGTTACAGATACAGGGGCAGATACACCATGAACTGCATCTTAGTCAGCTATGATTTCTTTTGGGATAAGGCTTTTTAAATAGAAATGTTTTATCACCGCTCGGAACTCAAACAAAAAATAAAAGATCGACGATAAAAATGGAACTACTCGATAGATTTAGCTGAAACTTTAGGAGTACTCTATTTAATAGTGACGCTTGTTGGTGTAATATAAGTTAGGATGCTTTAAGCGCCATCTCTTGGATTTTCTAAGGACTTATTGACCCACCTTCGTATTACATAGTTATTGTACCTTAATGCCTAGAAGATAAAACTCCAATCACAATGTCCGATATTAACGAGATTGACTTCATTCGGTCGCATGTACTTATTAACAGTGATTTAAGGGAAGCGATGAAAGAACGGCTAAAGCACGTATATTTGAAAATGGCTGACGATAGCAGAACTTCGATAACGCTCAAATTGTGTTTATTAATTACCTCAAGTCCATGTTTTTTCGGGAGAGACTACAAGTTATATTTTAATTATTTAATTATTTATATCAAAAGAGAAATAAATTATGTATTATATGTTTTAGGAACTTGGATCTCAACCATTACCAACAATAGTCACCGATGATACTGATATAATTGTACATTCGCTCCATGATCACACTCATCGCCCAAGAGCAGGTATTATAAACTAGAATCTTATTTATATTTACGTTTTATTGTTAAAACATATTAAATCTACGTATGTACATATATTTCCGTAATAGGTACATGGGGATCACATACACGGACAGTACAAAAATCACCTTTAATCAGTAGTGCCCCAGTTTCTGGTAAATCAACTCCACAGCCACAACAGCAATCAGAAGTTTTAAAAAAGTTCTCTAGTATTCGATCTAATCCAACTAGTCAGAATAATAGTCGCAGTAGTAGCATTGAACGTAGAAAAAGTTATACAACTTCAGATGACACAATCAGTCCATCTAGAAAAAATGCAATCTTAGAAGTTTTCCGCCCTAGAAGTAAATCAGATGCCAGTAGAACAAAAAAACCAAGTATTATAACTAATATGAAAAATGTTATGCAGGTATAATTTCAAGATTGACTATTTTTTAATTAAAATATTTTACTATAGAAATAGACATTCAAATATTATACGTTTTAATTGATATTATATTTTCTTCAACATACGAAAATATTCCATAATTAAACAATTTTGTGATATATACAAATCTTTCTTTAAGTTATTAGGTATAACAGAAATCGAATTAATTTTAGGAGTAATGTGTTTTTGAATACAAATTAACAAGAGCGACTTAGCAAACATAGTCTACATACCTCATATTTTTTTAGAGGTATGGATGTATATCCGGTGTTCAGTTTGATAGTTTTTGAATCATAATAATATTGATGAATAAATTCAGGACTATGTTTGATTCATGTGAGCTCTGAATATATTTTTATTTGAATTTCAAACAATCAAATGTTTTGCTCATACAAATTTGTGTTGTTCATATATTATCAGTTCCAGTGAAACAATACCGATAATCTTCATATTCTCGTCTCTCTCTCTCTCTCTCTCTCTCTCTCTCTATGATAAGTATCAGACGTGTTTCACAACAGTTCCTGGTTTTTCTGCAATATTTCTAATATTTTGTTTCGACTTCTAGAGCAAATTGTTCCAGGTGATGCGATTTCCATTGGGAAACCAGGTTTGTGCTGATTCTTGCGTTTTTTTTGCTACATTTGCCCTTGTCAATTGCATTGCCTCCTCAAGGTAATCACCTAACCTTGTTGTCGTTATACCATCTTCTGAATACATTCTGGTTCTGCTGTCTTGTCGCCATCAACATTCACCGGCCTCCGCTTCCCTGTCCATTGGACCATCATCTATAATAATCACCGAACCTTATTTACATCGCTGCATCTGTTTTTATTTTTAAGTGAGAGATTCTTTTCTGCTGTAAGTGTATGCTATTGTGCTATAGCAAACCATCATTTACTTGTGTGTTTTTATACAGCTTTACATTATTATTATTGTTATCTCTGCATGTGTTTTTGTTCTGTATCGTCATGTTTTTCTCATGATTTACTTTTTAATTCTATTGTCTACTTATAACCTTAAGCATATTATTATTATTTTTATAAGCGACAATTTAACCGGTAGGGGATATAATGTTTGCTCCAATTATAACGTCTATACCAAACCGCTCTCTCCTCAGCAGATACCTGTCTAAGTCTGGTACAGTCGGTCTCCTAGCATCCTTTTTTATCGACTGAGACTGTGTAAATTTTCCTACATTTCATTAATGTTACACCATAACTGTGCCAGGTGTATTGCCTTATTGTCTTGTATTGCACACTATTTCTTCAAATTAAATTTGTCACGCAAAAAAAGCAGTCACGTTTATCCAATGGTTTTTTCGAAATAGCTGGTTTTAGAAACTTTAATTTACTTTTACCTTAAGTTTTTTTTTGAATCTATCTAACATTTAAAAGAAAATATACTTTCTGGAATTCGACTGCAAAAATAACTTAAAAGAAAAGTAGGTTAAAGACAAATCTGAAAATTGCTTATATGTTCAAGAGATGTAAACTGGAAATATTCAAATACATATTACGTTAAATTAAATTTTACGATAAGAAACAGTCACGATGTCGCCGTCGAGCGGTGCGGACGTGCAACCGCCTGACGCATCATCGCTACATAAGCATTTCAAGTGTCATCCAAATACAAAAGTAGGAGCAGTTGTGTGTTTAGTATGTGGAAATTTCTATCATACGAGTGAAATAGTAGCAAAAATCAATGCAGGAAATGCAATCAAACTAATAAACAGCTCATTCATAATATGCCAGGAGCATCCAAATTTTGCACTAACATCAAACTTGCCATATGGGGACTTAAGTGAACAAGCTAGTGCTTTCATAACACAATTCAAACAAATAAAACAGGAAATATTAAATGAGCTTGTGAATGAAAAGCAAATTTTAAATGAAAAAGATAATCATATGGATGTAACACAGATCAATGATCTGGATGAATTACAACAATTAAAAGCCGAAAATAACCTATTGAAAGAACTGTACAAAGAAACAAAAGAAAAAAATGAATTGCTCAATGAATTACTAATTAAAGAAAAACAAAATAATAATGCAAATACTAACATTATAAGAAAAACATATGCTGAAACAATTGCACTACCAAAACCTAAGCCCAAAAGAATACCAAGATTAATAATAAAGAAAAAGAGTAATGATAACATAAACTTAGAAAATCAAGTAGCATATTACTCAATTAAAGACAAAAACATACAAACAAAAAGTGTACAAGTTAAAAATACTGACACAATAATTATCAACTGCATGACCGAAGAAAATGTCACAGTGTTAGAAAAAACTTTACAAAAAAAACTACCGGCATTTACTGTTCTAAAAGAAGAAATACGTAAACCGATAGTTAAAGTAGTAGGAATTTCTAAAGCTTTCACAACAAATGTAAAAGATATAGAAACTGATATTAATGCAAGAAATTTTAGTCAATACGAAGAAAAATGCAAAGTAAATCATGTATTTACAAATGAAAAAAATAAAACAGTAACTGCAATAATAGAAGTTCCATCTATTCTATATAAACATATAAAAATCAATAGTAACAAATTATTTATTGGATGTCAAAACTGTAGAGTCTTTGAAACAAACACCCGCAAGATATATAACCGTCCGAGAATAAATAACAGCTTATCGTTATCATCATTATCTACTCCAAGTCCAACAGGTAATAAAACCAGGAATACTAAATAGTTTTCTGCAATATTACAATATGGATAACAGCTTATATGATATTATATTTGAAAATGAACATAAAACAGATAATATTGATGATCTAAACAAATATATATGTAAAGAAAATAATATCATTCTTTGTATAAACATCAGAAGCCTTAAAAAAATTACAATAAATTACTAGTATTTCTGAAGAACCTTGAAAAAAAACCATGTATAATAGTATGCACAGAAACATGGAATTTAGACAATCATGAAATGTTCCATATTCCAGACTATAAAATATATTACAATGAAAGTAAAATAAACAAATCAGATGGAGTTGTTTTGTATATGAAAGAAGAAATCACCGAAGTTACAGAAGTTCTTGAAATAGATAAATTAAAAATAATTAACTCTAATATTACACTAGAAAACAACAAAAATTTGGTACTGTCTGCTATTTACAGATCTCATGATTTATCTAAATCTGAATTCCTATTGAATCTCAAAGAATTATTCAAAATAAACAAAAAATATAAAAACAATATTTTAATGGGAGACTTTAATTTTGATATATTGAGTGAAAAAATACTAGATCAAGATTTTTTACAAGTACTGCTAGAAAATGGATATTGCCCTGGACTACATACCATAACAAGACCATCCAATATTGATATTAACAAAGGTACATATATAGATAATTTCTATGTTAGGCTAGGAAAAGTCAACTATAAAACTTACGTCCTCAACGTACCCTTCAATGATCACTACCCCATAATGATGAGTTTAAGGAATAATTATAAATGTACACAAAAAACCAATTTTAAAATAATAAACTATTTTAAACTAAAAAATAAAGCCAAAAGAACTGTTTGGACTGACATACAAATTATAAAAGACCCTAATCTAGCTACGAACAAATTAATAGAAAAAATTCAAACATGTATTACGGCATCATTTAAAAACAATAAACACAATAAGAATAAAATGAACCCAAGGAGTAATTGGATAACTAAAGCAATAATGATATCATGTGCACACAAAGAAAAACTTTATAATAATTGGAAAAAAGATCCCAATAATGCAACAAAAAGAGAAAAATATAAAAACTATGTAGAAACTTTAAAAAAGACCATAGATCTAGCTAAAGAAAAATATGAAAAAAATCAAATCAAAACAAATCAACACAATCCACGAAAACTATGGAAAATAATCAACAACAAAATTGGGAAGAAAACCAAAAAAAACAATAACATAAATCATCTATTAATAGGTAATAATAAAATTACAAACTCAAACGATATTGCAGAACAAATGAATACATTTTTCAGTACAGTAGGCAAACAGGTATGTGATAATATTAGACAACCAATAAATAGTAACATTACTCTACCATCTATGAACAACAACAGTATTTTTCTACATTTAACAAATAGAATAGAAGTTCAACAAACAATAAGGAAAATGGGCAACAAAAACGGAGGATCTGACGGCATCAACACTCAGGTACTAAAGATGATAATAAACCATATAAGTAATCCGTTGACCTATATCTTTAATTTATGCTTACAAAAAGAAATATGGCCTGACGAATTAAAAAGTGCTGAAATTATTCCTATCCACAAAACTAAAGAGAAGTATCTACCAACAAACTATAGACTTATATCTTTAATATCAAATATCGCCAAAATTTTTGAAAAATTGATACAAATCAGGATTACAAGTTTTTTCAACAAACATAATTTATTTTCTAATAAACAATTTGGTTTTAGAAAAGGTCTTAGCACCAAAAATGCCCTATACTACCTAACTAACTCAATATACAATCAACTAGACAAAAGTAAATCAATAGCAGCAACTTTCTTGGATCTACCGAAAGCTTTTGACACTGTGGACCACAAAATTCTACTCAAAAAACTCTATAGATATGGAATTAGAGGTAGTACGTATGAACTTATCAAAAGCTATCTAAGTAATAGGAAACAAAGAGTTAAAATTAATGGTGAATATAGTCAATATCAACACGTCAACATTGGCGTACCACAAGGTACAATATTGGGACCTTTATTTTTCATAATCTACATTAATGATATGTTACAATTGCTACCAAATGATAATGTGTTGGCTTTTGCTGATGACACGTTAATTATCGTGAAAGGCGAAACATGGCATGAAGTCGAAAGAAATATGAACTTCTACTTAAACAAACTATCCATTTGGCTAGCATTGAATAAACTGTCATTAAAGATTGACAAAACAGTATACATGGCATTTGGAAATAACTGCATAGCAACTCAACATATTTACATGTAAATATAAAGG